AAAACTAAAATAGTTTATGGTAATTTTCAAGCCTAAAACAGAACATGTATGTAGGAATATGCCTAAAATAGTGTATAAATTATCTTATGACAAGTTATTATATGAACTAGTGTTGATACCCGTGCGATGCACGGGGTGCAATAGAAAGAAATATTTTTTACTTAAATACTATATAATTATTTAAGACAGTATGAAATTCTGTTCTCCATAATATCCTATTAAGTAATAATATGACATTTATTTATTTACCATTTTTTTAAATTTATATTTTATATATTTTTTTTGTTGTTTTTGACTAATTAATATATAAATTTTATTATTTATTAGTTTCTAAAATATCATAAATGTAAAAACTCATATGATATTTGTATACAAATTACTTGTTTGTACTTATAAATTTACCGTTTATCATTAGTCTTATATTTTTTTAAATAATTCATAATTTACACATATTGTTTGATAATTGACCAACGTTTAACCCTTAATATTTATCTTCTGCTATAATTATTAAGTGCATTAAATGTTCAAAACTTTGATAAATAAGTTTTAATTTTTAGTAACTTTAATCCTTATGCAACACATAAATTCTTATGGTTAAATATTTTATTTTTATGTTTCATTTTTATTTATATTCATTTCATTAATTTATTTTTTTAATCTATATAATGAGTTATATATTATCTATTCAAATATTTAGATATATCATATATTTCCATAATTACCAATTGCTATACTTTATATTATTATACATTGCTTTTTTATTAGCTTATTTTTTCTATATAAAATAGTATATAGTAAAAAAATATTTTTTTTAAAAATTGAATAGTTTTTTAATGTGCATAGATACTTCTAAGGTGAAACTTATAATTATGAATTGCACCAACCATCAAATTTTATTTTTATTAATATATAATTTGAATTTCAATAGTATTATATGATATATTCAATGGGATGTAATTTTTTATAGTTAAATTGACTACATTTTAGAAATTTTTATTAATATTTAAATTATTTATTAAGTTATTATGATTTAAATATAGTTATTCTTATTATTTTATTATTTTATTAAGTATTTTAAGTACTTATAAATAGTGAATATAATTAATTAGTTTAATACCTACAACCATAGATGATAATATATTTAATCAAATCAATTTCCATAATAACTTTTTGAATTGTATCAATAAATTGCTATTAAATTAATATAAGATCTTACTGAAAATATATCTAATAAATCTACGGTCAATGTTTCAATTTAAGCCAATTTGTAGTTAATGAGTAACAATTATTGAGTGTATAAAAATTATTTATGTTTTTCATACATAAGATTTGCTAATAAATAAATATTAATCAAATGTCAAATACAGATGAAAAAAATTCCCACCCAAAATCATGACAATTATAACAATAAGGATTGGTCCATTATATAGATATAGATATGCTAAAAATTGAGAATTATATCACCTTGATTTTATAACAAATCAACCTAAAATTTGACTTTCATCCCATACCATATAAAATTCATACCACTTATTTTATTTTCAAAATTAAATACAATTCTATCCATACTAACTGAAGTTCATATCATTTAAATTTAGACATTTCATTCCAAAATAAAACCGCCCTCATTTTATTAATCTCAACATTATTTTATGCTAAAATTTAGTGACATATAATATTACTAAAATATTTTTATAAATTAATAACCCAATTTTATTATATGCAAATATATGATATTTATAACAAACAAAATTTTATACTCTAATAGCTTTCGCAACATGAATTTCTACTTACGCTGCGTAGTATAAGAGGGCAAAACACGACGAATTACATTATGCACATTTTAAAACACTAAATAGAATATAATTTCATACAGATGGTCGTTAAGGCGAGATTATATTATTTATTGTGAAATCCCGTGTGCCAAGGACTAAAATTTTAAATATATATTTGTTGAAAGTTGAAAAGTAAAACTTTTTGAAAGTTAAATAGTTAAAATTTTAAATATTTATTTTAAAAGATAAAAAATAAATTTTAATTTCATTTTAATCTAAATATATGATAACATTAAATATGAAATATTTTAGAAAAATAAATTTATGTTTTAAAATAAAAATTTCAAAAAATATTTTTTGTGAATAAAATTTATATTTTCTAAAAAGTTAAGAATATGTAAAATTAATACCCAAAAAATTCTATTGTACGTAGTTTTATTCACAAATAATATTTTCTATAAGTTTATCTACAAAAAATAAAACTATTTTTCTAAATAGTTTACATTTCAATGTTATCATATATTTAGACTAAAATTAAGTTAATATTTATTTTTAACTTTTAAAATAAATTTCATTAAGTTTTTGCATAAATGTAAATTATGAAATAATTAAATTATTAGATAATCTTACTAAAGATATTAATATTTTAATTATAAGTACTTAAAAAATAAATTTTTAAATTTATTGTTGTTTACATAATTTTATCAAAATACAAATTGATATGAAGTCTTAAATTGAAAAGTAGAATGTAAAAGTAGGTCTTATATTGAGAATAACTTAAAATTGAAACATTCAAATGAAAAAAGTTAAAAATTTAGGCCTTATCGTGACACAATAACAAAAAGTCAACCCCTACAATGAAATTTTTCCCCATGCTACGTGGATCGTTCACGCGTGATTTGGTTGAAAAATAGTGGAAGTTAAAACTCTATTGAGTTCATGACCACTTGTCGAGGAAACTTAATTATACACATTCAAATAATCATAGAAACTTGTATAAAATAAAAAATACTCATAGAAACTAATGC